CTACGTTTAGTTGGAGCCACACTCCTTACTAATACCCTTCTCTCCAAGTTTAGACCTGTCTTTGAAAATTAGAACTACCAAATTACAGATAATTCTATTTCTCTTTCATTAGTACCAATATCACTATGCAAACATCATGGTTTTTAAATTACTGGTGGTTTGTTTTATTAGTATTTTCCAAGTGGGATGAAACAGATGGGACAAATATCCCTGCCTTACTTTTTCACCTTGAAGAAAGGTTATAAGATTTCCTGTCTGTTTAACTGAAGTTTGCCCTGTCAGAATATAAATGCAAAATATTCAGTCCTTTTGAGCATCTGAAACAGATTTTAAAAGGCACTTTTAAGAAGCATATTTGCATGTCTTTCATGACAAAGTCAGAGTGGAAGCTCACCAAGTCTACTGGCTACAGACATCTCAGCTACCACTAAGGCAGAGCAGGAACGGAGACTTTGCAATGCCTCTAGCAGTGCATGCTCTGTTGGGGACAGTGTGGACAAAGCAGGGACCTCTGGGGAAAGAAGCCTTAAGGCCCCTAAACTGTCTTTGGATCTGGAGGTCTCTCAGCTGGAGGGGATACATGCAGAGCTGCCCATGCAGGGCACAGTGGTCACAGACCACACTGGAAGGCTCTGGTGTCCCTGCCCCTAAGGATGGGAGGCAGACAGTGGCAGAAGATGAAGATGCCTGATTTGGAAGAAGAAAATTCATGGACAGATATTAAGAAATTAATCTCCCTCCCCTCCACAGTGCAGTTGCAATACTAAAATGGAGGGAGGGAGGGAGACTGGCTGAAGGCAAGTCCATACATTAAAATGTTCAGAAACATGTTTTCCATTCAGTGTTGGTGCCTGGCCAACAGGGAGACATGTGGGTATGCTGAGATACGTGCCCAGCGCAGAAGCCTCTGGGGAACTTCCCGTGGGAAGGAGCTCCATAATAGGAAGCACATCCGGGACCACACCCTGGGGCTCAGGCTGGGCATCTGTGGCCGCATTCCAGGCCTGTGTGCAGCTCAGAGCATGAGCCTGGGGCACAGAGCCACAGGCTCTGGTCCTGCCTCTGGCTCCTACTAGCTCTGAGGTTTGCCACTCCAAGCCTCCACTCCATCCACAGAATGGGCATAATAAAAAAGCCGACTTCCATAAGGCTGACTAGGAATTAATGAAAGTAATTCATGTAAAGCACTTAGAGTATAAACAAGGAATATTATTACATAGTAATTATTACTATACCAACTCCGTCAAAAATGCTTTTATTCTCTCCTCTCTTTCTCTCACATACACAATACCTACAACATAATCCAGAAATTCAAACAGCATTTCTTAATTTTGAAAAGAAAAAAAGGATCTGTGCCTATGGAGAAATAGAAGGCATGAGGAGGGAATTAAGAAATCACTAACAGATAAATACTAAGTTTGTAAGAATCTGAGCAACTGACTTGCCTTCCTTTAAAAGTCATAAAGCTTGTGTGAACTGGAGGAGACCAATGATAAAGAAAATGAATAAGTTACAAGTGCGTGCTATGGAAAAAATCAGGATATGGAGATTAGAAAAGGCTACTGGTAGCAGGGAGAGGGTGCCGTGTGAAAGAGAATGGCCAGAAGAGGCCTCACAGGAAAGGTCATTTTAGACAATGATCTGACTGAGGTGAGGGAGTTAGCCATGAGGACTGGGGGTCGGGGGAGCATCCCAGGTAGAGGGAACAGCCCATGCAAAGGCCCTCAGGTGCAAGCACAGGTGCAGCAAGTTCAAGTAGGAGCCTTGTCAGAGAGGAAAAGCAGACAGGTACCGTGATCTTCACCTAGCACTTGACCGGGGTCTCTCAGGACACCTTCCTGCAGGAGACAGTAGGAAAACCGACAGTAGCTAAACTGCTTTGGGTCTGACGAATCAGTGATAATTATGGCCTAGGAACAGGAGCAGCATCTATGCCGGGCCCTATTTTCTTCTGCACTTTTTACCAATTAGTCAATGACAAAGAGGCCATATTCATCGACTCTACACACCACTAAATACAACTTACTTGTCACCAGAATCAAGATTCAAAATAATCCCAAAAGGACTGGCCAGAACTTATGAACACTTCATAGACACAAACTGCTTGAGAAAATAAGCTTTAAAAAATTTTCTCCACAGCAGACAGGAAACAGTCCAATTTTTAACCTTTAATCACGCCTAAAAGGACAAGATACAATAAGAGCCGAGAATGTGAGTTAATTACTTCAAGCCAAAACAGCGTATGAAGGCAAAACTGCATTACCAGAACAGCAGCAACTCAATGGAAGAAGAGATGCCTGCATGGGCCCAAGGCCTCAGGAAAACCACGTTCAGCCCAGGGTTCCATGGGGATGTTCAGAGGACAGGACTGTGACTAGAGGGGCATCCAACAGTAATGAGGCCAACTAACCTGGAGAAGAGAGTTAAAGAAAGCAGCAGCTTCTGTGATCCTCAGTCATCTGAAGATCAGGGAGTACGAGCAAATTTATTCTGTGTGGATTCACAAACCAAAACAGAACCAAGGGATGAGAAGACAGGCAGACAGGATTTGGCTCAGCCTAAGAAAGCTCATTTGAAAACTCAGAACTGTTCTAAAATGCAACAGGCAGTTTACACAGTCACCCAAGGCCCTTAACACATCCCAGCCACCGAACCAAGCATTTTAAAAGACACTATTACATTTCAGTCTCCATAACAATTCCCTACGTGGTATGACCATCACAATACAGGGGCACTGTTTTTAAACATCAGAAGTCTGGTTCTGGTGTTCTTGCAGTTTTGCTGTGGCAGACATGAATCACAGCTCCGTTCCCCCTCCAGAGAGGGCTCCCTCTGGTCCCTTCGCCTTCCCCCTCCCTCCAACTCCTAACAGGGCACTGCCAGGCTTGCTGTTTTGCTGTTGCAGACATGAATCACAGCTCCGTTCCCCCTCCAGGGAGGGCTCCCTCTGGTCCCTTCGCCTTCCCCCTCCCTCCAACTCCTAACAGGGCACTGCCAGGACAGCAGGCAGGCCACTCCACCAGGTAGGGGAGGAGTGAGGCACAGCATGGCCATCCTGCTCATTCTGGCAGCAAGAGAAATCAAAACCCCAGACACTCAGCACAGCAGCTCCACCCAGGGGCTATACTAGGCAGGAAGGTGCTGGCAGAGCAGCAGCTCCATGGCACCCCCACGTGGAAGGACTGCAGCAAACGAAGCAGCAGGCCAGCAGCACCAGAGGGACTCCACACCATGAAGGGTGACTTTATGCTGGAAACATTCATGTCGCTGATTTTCTTTCTGATATTATGAGTTTGAAAACTTTAAAAACACATGAGTAATGATATCATGCTCCCTCATCTCAATCAGTGAGGCAATAGGCATGACTATCCTAAATTACAGGTGAGAAATTCAGACAGCTAGTTCTAGTTCACAGCTCCTAAAGGAGAAGGCTGGGATTTGAATGCAGACTCCAAAGTCCGTGTTTTTACCACCCTGAACATCCAGGAGTTCCGCTCCTGCTTTCGGAGAAGGTTACTCTAAATGAGTCCTAAATTCCTTCCCTAAGTTCACCTTTGTGACTACCTCAGACCCACCAATGCTGAGGAGGCCAGCCCTCTGCTTTTCTACCAAAATGAGAGGGATCATAGGGGCCTCTGTGAGGTGGATGTGTGGGTACCCTTCTTGAGGCTTCATCTCAGGGGTGGGCCTCACCTTCATATCTGCTGGGAGAATCGCACGTTTTCTGCGGTGTGGCCACTCGGAGGAATATCTGCTGCCTCCACGAATGCCTGCGGGTTTTCACAGGGGTCCCACCAGAGTCACCAAGATGGCTTGCTTTGGATTCAAAGTCCCTAAAATTACAAGATAATTGATTTATGACTAGTGGACAGATGTTAATGGAGTTTTTTTAGCTTGACATTTAAAAAAAACAAATCACTACATTATGAATTATCTTTGTATAAACAAACACAATTAGATAATTGCAGAAGTTAAAACGAGTTCATGCTGGGTCAACACTCCTACAGGACTGCTTTCTTGCAGGATGCTTTTCATGAAAAGACCAAAATTAAACACTCTTAATTTCTATTATAAAAGACATTAACCAATACGCTCCACACACCATAGCTTCCTATTGGGCTTCTGTTAGTGCCACTTCAGAAAAAAGAAACTGCTTAAAGCGGGTGCTGTCACCAGGGCCCCAATCCACCCTAGTCTGTATGTGGGAATATTTTCTCAACACAGGCCTATGTTTCCATAGATGGCCACAAAAAATGAAAAAAGTTGTAGTTTAATTACACAGAATCATCAAGGCAATAATTATGCAGTCACTTGCTAATGATGATTGTTTTAACATTTTTATTTTAAAAATTACAAAACAAAGTATAGTTACCAATATATATAAATAGAATCTAGTCAGTATTTTCTTCCTATTTGCAGGATAACTTGGGAAGGCCTTTGCAATTTACACCTGGAGTATGTACACACAACCAAGCAATCGCTTTAACTTACAGATGAGACATTCTGACTTAATTAGGACAGCCATATGCTCACTATCCAGAAACACTGCTCTCACTTAAAGAACTGGTTAAGATTTTCTTTAATCTTCTGAAAACAGCAACACATTAATAAACTAATGCTAGTCAAAATTGGAAAACAGGTTGATTGCACATTTGAAAAAATGACATTCCGTCAGAAAAAAATAAGAAGATGCAATAGATTTAGCTAAAATGGTTTTGGTTAAGATTTTCTTTAATCTTCTGAAAACAGCAACACATTAATAAACTAATGCTAGTCAAAATTGGAAAACAGGTTGATTGCACATTTTAAAAAATGACATTCCGTCAGAAAAAAATAAGAAGATGCAATAGATTTAGCTAAAATGGTTTTTTAAATAACAAAAGAACAGTTTTTTAAAATCCCTGTGTATCTAACAATAATTCAACACTTATCACACCCAGACTTGATATATCTAAATTAAGCCCTACCTTTTTGGGTTCATAAAGTCAGAGGTGTTATTTTCATCTACAGGAGCCAGAAATTTTAGAAAATTTGGCACAGAGGAAGAAGAATGAAGTTTTTTCCGCAGGGCATTACGGTAGGAGATGCTGAGAGTTTGGTTGAAAAAAGAGTTTAGGACAAAGAAATATAAACACACAAAGTATAACATATAAACTTCAAAATAAAAGAAACATTTTCATTCTAATGCTAAGAAAAGTAAATGAGGTAAGAAATTTAAAACAGTTCACAAATGAGATTTAACTTTTGTTTTCAGTCAATAAAATTCAATTTTAATGAACGGAATCAATGAATTTTATTTTTTAAAAAATCAGTCCCTCTTCCAAACAACTCTTCCTTTCAAACCAGACACAATTTTCTTAAATGAATCAGAAAGTTTCTGATATGTCATAAATGCAGTGCATACGATCAACCACAGTTGTTAATCTGTGTGTGTGTACACTAGGGCAGGGAAATGTAAGTATATAAAACACAGCTTGCCATCAAGACCTGTTTTCATAATATTTTGAAGAAATTAATCAATAGTAAAATTAAATCAGTTCAAATGACAGCTGGAAATAATAAGATCAAATACGAATGCAAACACACAAGCAGTGACTCCAGCTCCCTGCATAGACATCCCCCCAGTAACATCCTCTGTCAGCGTGAACTCCCCCAGAGGACAAACGACACTGAATTTGTCATGCGAGTGTGCTCACCTCTTTGGCACAGCATTCCCACTTTGTTCTCCACTGGAATTATGTTTTAGGTACTTAAAAAAGTTTGGCGAGGAGGCGGAAGGGGTAAGACGAGGTGGAGAAGCAGGAGCTGAAGACTGACCTGAGCAATGCTTAGATCGGCCCACAGGTGGATGGTCCACACTAAACAGTAAGTAGAGAAAGCACGGAAGGTTAGAGAGAAGAAGGGGTCATGAAGGGGGACATGGAAGACACAGAGGAAAAGGAGTGTGGCTGCTGTGTCTCATGTCGATACCAACTGCCACAGAGTTCGAGGACTTCTCTCCACTCCTCTTCCTTAGCTCTGCTCTCTCACTGGCAAAGGTCACTCTCAGTAAACAAACTAAACAGAGTACATCCAAGGCTGTTCTTGATCATTCCCCACTATGTGCCAAACAAGACTTTTTTCTCTATTCTCTTTTTGGAAACTGACAGGAAAAAATAAAAAAATTAAAACAAAAGCAAAAGAAAAAAATTCAAAGTTTTAAAAAACATTTCCCTTTAAAATGAACAATATCCTGCCCTGAATTCCAATGTCTTGTTTCCTGTTGGTAAATGAGAAAAGAGTTTGCCAGAAGGGAAGAAAGCAAAACGGGCCATGCTGGAGAGACAGACAGAGAGAGAGACAGACAGACAGACAGACAGACATTTCCCTCTCCCTGTCACTGCCGATGTCCAACACGATCCATTACAAAGCTGCATCTAAGAGGAGAAAGGAAGAGCACTGACACCAAGTCCCACCACCGCTGGCCTGTGGGAAACGGCAGATTTGACAAGAGAACTGGCACTTTCCAGATGAAGATGTTTCCATTATCACAGAAAATGCCAGGAACGGAGGAGTGGGCATGCAGCAGTGAGACAGAAATAGTGTGGAGAGAGGGTTTTAAGAAACATGACAAGAAACTTACACAGCTACAGCCAAACTATGCTTCTCTCTAAAATGTCATTATTTATGAAATACTAGCTTCTGAAGTATGTTCTGCTTTGGTGAGCACAGTTATCCAGTTGAATTCCAAAGAACCAATAACTATTTCCAACGGTGACTGAAAACAAAGCTTGAAAACAAAGCTGAGAAGCTCTACTATGTCCTTCCAGAGAGGTGGACGCTTCACTTTTTTTTTTTTCCCCCTTTTTGTCATTTTTTCGTGACCGGTAACGGATCACAACCCTCAGTGTCGCGCCTGTACCGGACCGGGACCGGCAACGGGAT